CAATCGAAAGAGGTAGACTGCTAGTGCGGAATCAGACACCCACTCCCAACCCATCCATACCCGTAAATTATAATCATTTTTTTTAAAACGTGTTTTATTACTTTTATTTGCAAAAAACAAAAAAAAAATGTYCAGATAAAGGTAATTAAAGATAGGATGAATAATATTTATAGGTAATATCTAGATAATATTATGTACTATCATAATGTATTTAAATTATGATTAAGACTGTAAATTACTAAAACACCTGATAAATGTAGATATTTCTGTAATAGTGACCAAATTGTATGATGTGTCATAAATTGTGACTCACTCATATATATATRATATATTTGTTTAATATTACAATAGTATAAAACAATATTAGGTAAGTGTATTRAAAATAAACTATACTGTTCACTTATTTTATAAAGTATTTTTTTAAACTGAATAAATAAGTACAGCTTCACAACTGTTCACTGATCGATACCAAGCTTCTATAAAATGACTTGACTACATTTTTAGGTTGAAACGTACCTATCAAAATTTCAAAACATCCAGTATAAAATGCATTATATATAAATATACCTACCTATATATCATAATAGTAGTAGGTATACTTATACATTATAATTCATAAATATGAAATTCTATCATTTGTAAAATATTATTAATTAAGTATAGGCGTGCACACATATCGTGTTGAATAATTATAATAATACAAAATGAAAATAACAATAACCTAGAAAGGCCAAATACACAAAACTATTATCAAAATTCAGAGAGTGCAAAATAAAAGTTTTTCAAAATTTAATTCAGTAGTAAATTATTCATAATTTATGCTATAAGGAAGCTATATGTTTTAGAGCAGTTAGCTAAAAATAATGAATTTCACTACAATAATGTGTAGCAACCTTACTGTAGTTATTATGATATTTAACAACTCAACAAATGTATAAGATAATTCGTATTAATTACAAAAAAAAATAAAAATTCAGTTAGATACCAATTTAATGTAATACACAACCAAGCTCAAACAATTCTAGTTGCGCCACTGACACTTTAAATATCAGCTACATAATATATACCTACCTACATAATATTATAATTTATAATATTATATTGACATACCAGCTATTACATTAAACCCAATAAATTTAATATTTTGACAACCTACGACAGCCGTGGCACAATACAATTTGCATACGACCCACACCCACATCCAAGAACAGGAATGGGTATGTGAGTGACCGCCGTCGCGAGGGACACGACGCCGGGACGAGGCCGTTTGCTGCAAGTTTATAAATAAAAATAATAATTTTGCGGCGCAGGTGATTTAACTGATTTTACATGCGGTGAACCGATAAAAATATAATAACATCGGGAACCTGGAGTAAGACGAGAAACCTATTAATATTGAACTCTTTCTACTTTGTACCTAACCTAACCAAAAATAAGGGTAATTATTTATTATATTTTTTATCATCATAATTTTGTTTTTTTTTATACTCTTTTAAATGAAGATGGCTACAGATTTTTAATTTCATAATCCAAAAGAGAACATAATTTGATGTAGATACATATTTTGATTTAAAAGGACCCAATTTTGGGAAAATATTGTATTACTTATAACTTATAAGTATTTAAACAATTGAACTTATTGAATAGTTGATACCCGTGTATGGTGGGTCAATATTTAGAGGGTACTGCGCCTGATGCAGTATACCACTCCACTCCGTATATCTTAACTTGAAACATTACACCTCTTGATCTACTCATCAACATGTTGATTTTTATAAAATACCTATCTAAATACCAATTCATAGAAATATTCTGATTTGGAATAAGGAATTGAAAATGCATGTTGTTGTTATACAAGTAAATTATAAAATTATATTATTTTGGAAAAGCTATGCAATTTGTAACGGCTTTTAAAATAATGAGTGTTGAATTAAATGTATCATACGGTAAATGGTATAAAGTTTAATAATACTACGTATTTATTTTAAGTCCGCGGTAGGTCCAGAGTAGCCGAGTGGGTGACTCCGTGTATAGAACAATCTTTGACGGTGGGTAAACTAGCCGAGTGCCGAGTATAGTAAGGCTTTCTCAACTTGATAACGCAATATGATGTAGWAAAGAGGACGACGCCGCCAGGACGACGAACGGAAGATTAAAACGTAAGGACATATCTTGTCCTCGATAGGATGACCATTGACTAGTGCGTGGTAATTAAKACCTTAGAACGAGGCAGAACTCCGATTAGAGAAGTCGATACTCGACAATAACGGCACGTGATACCAATTAGGTACCATTACCATTGTCCATTTACCAGCTGCGATTGGCAGTTTATACACGWATAACATCTGCGATTGTTTTTCGTTAGCGTCGTCAAACGATGAAGTGCAATCAACCACATCGATTCTCGTTACATTATTATATTCTGCTTAATGTTTAAACTTTAAATCATAATGTTATGATAAATTATTAGAGTAATACAGTACCTACCTACTTATACGCACAAAGTAATTACACGATGATATTATATMATATTTTTATATGCAGAAGAATCATAAAAATATACAACAATTAAATAAAAATTTTGAAAAAATAGATTTATGTGAAAAAATGTACTCAGTTAAATCGTCTGTTTTGTAATAATTGATTATAAAAATATTTTGACAGTGTCCTACTTCAACGATGTAAAGCAAATGATTTCTTAGTGAAACGCTTGATATGCTTTTGAACAAGTGAGTTCACTTTYTGTGTAATAAACAATACAATTACTATTTGTTTACCAAAAAAAAAGGTAGATTTGTAATTTGTAATCGATACATTTTTTTATCATTTTAATTTTCTACTAGATAAAATATTAATTAACACCTTTATTAAGTTTAAAAAAAAATTATTTTATTGTATTTAATGAGTAATAATTATTAAACTTGTCGAAATATAAAAAAATATTCAATATTCATCGAATAAGTGAAAAAAAATGTCATAAGCCATTCAAATTTTAAACTACCACGATTCGTTAAGGTTTCTGACAATAATCTAGATTTCTAAAAGACAAATAAAAGTAGGTACAAATGGTATAATAATATATTTCATAAAAACAGAATTTTAATATTATTTKGATTTTTGACAAGATTGATTTGATTGACAAGGAACAAGGAACCCGATAGAAAAATCCAATAATGAATAATTGTTTTAATCGTTAATAAAATATATAGGTATCTATTCACACAAATTTGTATGGTTTTCAAAGATATAATATTTAAATCTTTATTAGGTATTTAAAAAAGGTAAATTACAAGTTAAATGTGAATTTAAATGATAATAATTCATGCGCGAGTAATTATATAAAAATAAAAACACCGATTGGATTTTTTACTGAACTTTTATTGTTGGATATAACGTTGGAATTTTTTAGCCGGGCTTTTAGGTAGAATACTGAATAATTATGGACTGTAATACACTTAATTTTTCTGGGCAGGTATAATCATTATTCATTGATATAATTATTGTATAGCATTATATGTGTATTATTTACATATTTTTTATTTTTTTTTTTATTAAAAGAAAATATATACAATCTGTATAAACAATACAATAAGTAATATGGTTGATTAATATACAAATCTGGACGGCTTGATGGAAGATGGAAGGAGTGTCCAAACGACACTACTTCAATCTAGAATTTACATATTATACGAGTATATCGTATTATTTTGTTGTCTTACATCCGTAGAAATTTTTCTAGGGAGGAGGGCAGAGATAATTTAAAAAAAGTGTAATAAGTAATAATATTCAAAAATTGTTGGAAAAAACTTATCCTAATTTTACAAATCGGAATGAACAAAAGTAGGTAACCAATTTATAAGTGATTGTGACGACCACCATTTCGGGAACGAATAACGATATTCATCAATAATATCGTCAATCGTCATCAACTCAAAATAATTAGGTAGTAGGTACCTTGTCTAGTCTCTAGTCTAGTCTACCTGCCTATTTAAAACACTGTTTGTCATTCAATCAAGTTTGATCGACTTGAGTACCTACTTGACTATGGTCGTTGTCAAAACAACATTATTGTTCTACTAGAAATGTGTAAGAGACAAAATGTTAACCTGAATTGTTGAAGTTTTATTCCGGCCCCCGGGATAATATTTTTTCCGAAAACCCGGGACGTACCTATGGCAACCCTAAAGTAGGTAATCTCTAATGGTGGGTGGTGGGTAGTTATTACGATGAAACTGTGCATGGTAACACGATACTCCGTTAGGTACCCACAGAATAGTTAAGAAATATAATATTCGTCTACATCTTCACCGTGTGGTTATTGGTTGAAGTATTAATGATGTCATCAACAACACTTACAGTCTCTTCCTGTAGTGAAATCGTTTAACCTAAATAACATAAATATTTATCACATTTTTAATTTGGCCAATTACAAAATAATATTTTGATGTTTTAAACACGAAGACAGTACCTATACTGTAAATACAAAATAATATTTAACCTGTAAACCACATTAACATTGACAACAATCGTGACTAATGTGTTACGTGATATTCGTTTATCAGTCATCATTGTTTGTGTCAATCAGCGGCGGTCGGTCGGACCACGGAGACACGGAGCTGCAGCCGCCACGTTTTACAATCACCCACCTATCCCACACCTGCCGCTTTTACGTGTGACGTCGCGACAGTCCGTAAACCCACGGGCACTCGTTTCTTCCCGGTACAAATTAATGTCACGATTTTATTAAATAGCTAAAATAYTATAATCGTAACCGTGGRTTTGAAACCGTTTCGGTTTATAGTCACGTCTTGCACATAAACATTTGGGTTTTGGGACACGACGACGTACTAACAACGTTGTGTTATTAATATACCGCGGATACCGCCAGCAATAATATTATACTACACTTTGATATCGCGCGTTATCACCTCCCGAGACTGATACAAAAACATCGACGACAACGTCACTGATATTATTATTATTATTAGTGTTGTTKTTAAATAACAATACTATTATCGTCGTTTTGGCGCTGGCACGATCGCCGATCAGAGTGATCAGACCTCCGCCGCCGTCGTCGCCGTCAATCCGCAGGGTCGTCTGTCCTACTGGGCAGCCCTTTGCGCGCGCACGTGTGTATTTGCGTGTGCGCGCTTGTACTAGCCGCCGCCGCCGCCGCCGCCGCTGCTTACTCGACGTGCTCCTCTCGGCGCTCGCCGTCACACTCGGACACCGAACGTTGACGTTCGGACGTGCACGTAATACTCCGACGCCACCGTCGCCGCCGTTGCGTCCCTCTTCCGACGGGGTCCGTTGATCGACGTTATACTGTCCGGTTGCTGCCGCCGACGCTCATTGCCGTCCGTGCGCGCGAGGTCCTCGTCGTTCCACTCGCGCACTTTTAGCACTGATGGCCGTGCGCGCCCCAACCAAAAATGTGAGTACACCTACAATATTATAATAGTACTGATATTCAGCCCTTTTATCGTCGGTCTCTGAGTTCCTTGATTATACCTATTATAACATTGTCTGCCATCTCTAAACCTGATGATCTTTTTGGTGTCTAACCGTAGTACACACAGCGTTTCATTCTTCGGTTGGTTAATTTCCAATACCTGTCTCCGTCACCGTTTGTAGATAAATTCCTCATTTTTTTTTTCTTGGTTTGACATTATCCGATCAGGTTCTATTCCTTTATCTAAAGATCCTCAATATTTTGTTTTATCAATATTCCTTCAGGTGAAAAGTACCTAGCTGAAAGTAAGTTAGGAATTAGTAAAATAAGTAAAAATAGTAGTTTGGAATATTTTAACCGTACCATATGTCTTACAATCGTCAATGGTCTACCTACTTATTATAGGTACAATTATTATATTATTCCCTGATACCTATATTTATGTTAAATTCCTTGACACATAAATATTATATCTATATTATGACATTGTTATACATGCAAATTAAAATGTATTATATTATTATAGATAGCTAGTTTTTACAAGGTAAAAGTTTTTTCATTTTTGYATTTAAAACAATTATTTTTTAAAAGAATCTTTAAATACTTTAAAATTATTATATTATTATAGGKGATCATAATAACTTGTTTTTAATGTTTTATTACTTATTTATTTTAAAYTAATACACTTTAAAGTTATATAAGTATTTTAATCAAGCATAACATTTTTTTATGTTCAGGACTGTAGTTGCGAGCAGACTAGCTTACATTTACATGCTGAAATCGAAAATCTAAAACAAAAACTCTTAGAAAGAGAAAATCACATTGTAAACATGGAGACTAATTTTCTCTGTGAAGCTGAAAARTTTCCTCATGGCGAGTACGCTGCATTAACAGATGAAATATTAATATGGCAAGACAAATATTCTAGGTAATCACTTAATAATTTTTATTTAATGAWACATGGATAATTAATCAAAACATATTATTATAATACATTTTTATAAGGACCAATTTTATTTTTCATACCATCTATTTTAAATAACACATTATATCATATGCACAGATAAATTATGAACACTACATTACCTAAAATATAGGTATATGTATTGTTAAGTATAACAATATAAATAACAACTGTTAATGAAAGTTTTAAAAATAGCCATGTCAGTTGATAATATTACATTTTAAATGGTTATTCTTAACAATTAACTATGATATAACAATATATTTTGAAAATAAAATATTTTTCATTTAGATTATTAGAATCACATAAGAGAGTTCAACGTGTTAATCAAAGTCTTGAAGATAAATTATTATTACTTGTTGATAAAACTGAATCAGAAAAGAATTTATTAAATTCAGAAATCACAATTATATCTCAAAAACTGGTTGACCAACAATTTCAAGTGAATCAATTGAATGATGAAAATGTAAGTTATAATTAGAATATCATTAGAAAATTATTTAATATTCTTAATAAATCAAGTTATAAATTAAATATTTTTACTAAATTCTTGATACTGACAAGATTTTATATACAAACTACTTATACAAATTAACCAAAGGCAGCAAATCTATACTATTTAAAATAATTTCTTTAAGTAAGAATCACTCTCAGAATTAGACTTAATGAAATAATTAGTAAATTAGAATTATTTGTTTTCTTGTGAACCAACTGACTGTAAAAGTTACTTGGACAACTAAGATTATTAGAATAATTATATCAATAGGTAATTTTTTTAATTTTTTTTTTTTAAGAAGGTATTATTTAATTCTTAATATTATTTTAGATACGTTATATTATGTTATGACATTATTATAAATCCACTAATATCTATTTATTATTAATAATTTTACAAAATATTATTAATTTTCTGCATTGATTTGTTACAGGAAAGGTATAAACATGATCTTAATATTGCTATTCAATTACTTCAGTGCAAACCATCTCATTTTGTTTCTCAAAAATATGATAATGTAAGTAAATTTTAATTTTAATAGTCATTTAAATATGACAAGTATATTAATAATTGAATTTATCTATTATATATTTAATAATAAGTACAATTTTAATGTGAATAATTAATGAGTTTTATCATCAACAATATTTTACTATACTTATTCAATCTATTTTACTTCTTAATCCAGTGGTTCTCAACTTCTTTTTTATAACAACATTCTAACAAAGTCTCAATAAATAGTGACACTCAATGACTCAATATCAATTAATGGTTTTTGAAAAAAAAAAAATGGTTATAAATGAAGGTTGATTATTATTTATATCTTCCTTGCTACCATTTTATTAAAACATAAATATAAATTTAACAGTTTTAGGTAGATATTTCAATAAGAAAAAAAATGTATTTTAAGGTAGTTAATGAAGAAAACAAATGAGTAACCATACTAACCATATTTCTTCTATATCATGAGCAAATGGTAGATAAACTTACATGCATCATATGTTTATTTACATTCCTAAATATTTTAAGCTATGTAATTTACTAGTTTAAAATCTATATTATATTGTTGAAACATTGTCAGTATCAGTTTGCTTATCTGTTGTTTTTACCAGTTAACTGTCATGACACCGTAATAATGTATTAAAATTTTTATTATGTTTACAGCTGCCAAGTGAATTGCAATCCAAAGTTCGAAATTATATTTTTAGCAAACAACGAAGATTGTCRGACGGAAATGGCAACATAGCACAGAAATCTGAAGGAAAAACTATAAAAGTACCAATTACTACATTTCCTCCAACAGCAATGGTGTATTCATTGAGTAAYGGTAATTTTTAAAATAATTTTTGTTTTTCATTAAGGTATAATGAGTGTTAGTTTTTCTTTTTTTTTAAATATTAGTACCGTTTCCAAAATGATAAATTATTGAAATACAAGATGTTTGGTTCAAGAAAAAATAGTTAAACATGTTTTAATGTGAGCTATCTTATTGCTAATTGAGATAATTGATCATGTTTATACATACCTTATACTGGTTTAACTTAAATAGTTAAATTATGTTAATAATTGTAATGCATTCTTGAATAAATAATTTAAACTATTCAAGTATATATATTATAAATTATACAATTTTAAATTATCTTTGAGTTCATTATGTTTAATTAATTCAAAAAAACAAAAAAAAGATTGAATGGAAATATGTTTAAAATCATTCACATGTTTTTTTTAACTAATAAAAAAATATCCTGAACAAGTGCATCGGAGGTTACAAAATTTCTCGGTATGTTACCAAAAATATTTCATATATATATATCCTGGTCACCACTTATGCGTATGTCCTGTTGGTTATTGTATCTGTCTGGATTAATCATAATAGAACAATAGAATAGCACAATACCTATATGTAAGATTTGTTCATTTCATGTATGTATAACCGATTGCACTATCTATTCTAAACACAATATTCAACACTAATTAGCTGTAACAATTAATATAAACATACATTCAAACATGCACATTAATTTCTTTTAGAATTAAAACAAAATATATTATCATTATTATTATTATTTAGATAAAGATCTCAAGTCATCAAGAGATAGCGAAGAAGGGTCATCACAACCTGTAAACAATGTTTCAGCATCAATCCTAGCAAAAGTCTTAGAAGAAAGATTCAAAGAGAGGTTAACTCAACGACACTGTTCTACTTGTTCATGTGCTAACAAAACTGGTGACCCTAATACAAACCAACAAGAATGTCATTCACCTCAAGCAGATTCCTCTGATAAGCAAATGCGCACACTCACAAAATATAGTAAACGACCAATGACAACCAAAAGTTCAGAATCTCTAGTATCAGAACCAGAATTGTCATCATATTTTGAAAACTCTGTATCTTTAACTGATTCCTCTGATAATGGACTGAAATTATCAGCTCGTTCTAGATTGTGTTCAGTACGCTTACAAGAAGGCAGTAATAATATATTGTTAGATAACGCTGCGACACCATATACAGGTCCTATTCTTTATAAAAGTCGTTCTTCTAGCGGTGAGTATGATGAACCTTTGGTACACGCACAAAAATTGGTAGACCGTAACATCCATGCAAACGAACACACACGTATAATGATATCAGACGAAGAAATTATTTAAAATTTAAACAATTTTTAAGAATATAAATGTGTGTGATTTGTTTAAAAGTTATACAATTGGTAAGAATATGAATTTGTGTGATTTGCTTAAAAGTTTTACAATTGGTAAAAATATGAGTATGCGATTTGTTTGACAATAATTAGGTGGTTGATAAAATTAAATATATATTAAGCGAAGTATAAATAATATTAAATACATTGTTTTATTATGTCAACTTTACTATTTATCATTGTTAAGCGTGAAAAATCTTCATTATGATATTTCTATGACAATTTAAATTTCATGATACTATATAAAAATTGAAAATATCATCTTTTAGTATTTTTAAAAATTCTAAATATTAGAATTTGAATAATTTCATTAATAAAAAATGAGAATSAAGACATTTGGCRAAACACTATATTAAAACCAAAATTTTTTCTGTWATTTTATAGTATTCATCCAACAGATACTTTAGCGTAGTATGCATCAAGCAAGTACTGAAGTACATGCATGATAGCAACCTGTCTACAATTTACTCAATTGAATACACTGCCACTCTGGCCTAAGTGAGAGAATATCGAAATGATAAGATTACGGGGGCTTAATATAACGCAGTCACRGATTCAAATCCTGTACTGTGCATATTTTTTTCCATTTAATTCTCAACATCTCTCCCAAAACCAGCCAAAGCATTTAAGGCCGTGTCAACTTTGACCTATAAATTATTTTTTACCTTAATATCATATTTCACGCTAAATGATGATGATAGTGTGATGTATAAAATGATATAATTTTTATAATCAAAATCAGACCACATATTATTTTAACTCACGTCATCTAAGGTTTTTTGCCAATTTATGTCATCTAGAAAAAAATATAAAGTAATWTATACAACATTATATTTTTAATCAATTTTATCAACCTATATAACAACTACTATAATTCTGGAAAATTGATTTACAGGTACTGACCAGACTGCATTATCGTATTTTAAAATATTGGTTTGATTATACTATAGATAATAATAAAACCAAAAATTACTATTTTATTTATTTAGAAGATAATATATTATAATATGTAATACAATTTTTATAAATGACATTAAAGTGATTCATTTACAAAGTTTAAGACAAATAGTGTTGTATTTATTTCTTTCTTATGGTTTAAGTATAATACTTAAGACAAGATGTGTTAAAAAAAAATTTTTAGTTACCTAAATTCTTAAAAAACATTTTTTGTTTACATTTGTTTTTATTGTTTTAATTTATACARCTATGGCATCATTGTTATTATTTGTATTATTATTATTATTTGTTTTTATTTTTTTCATTACATAGTTTATACTTTTGTTAATTTTATGTTTGTGTAATATTTACCTAAATAATATGTTTACCTTTCTAATATATACCACAATATTCAAATTAACACCATTTCAATTGATCCAAAAATATTCATAAATTTTGTTTTGAGCACATTGGTTTAACTGTTATTTCGATGTTGATTTTATGTATTTTAACAAAAAACGATACCAACTGAATGAAAAAGAAAAAAATGTTAATAATACATCAATCTTTACTACTTACCCCTTGTATTGTTTTCATCTACTACCTAAATAAGACATTTGATATTAACTTAACGCAATATTTATGCAGGCTATGATCTATTTAATTCTGAGTGAATCAAATTTAATAAATTCTAAAATTTAGAACTTGAATAGTAGAATACATAGTTTATACAGTTAGATAAACTAATGCTGATGCAAAACGAAGTTAGAAAATATGTTCTTCGAAATCAAGATAAATTTAGTAGTATATTTTTCGTTTCTAGGTACTATTATTATACTGGTGGCTATATATCAGACCTATGATAAGTTAAATTAATTGAGGACTTAACAATATGTATACTAGGGTAAAAACAAAAAAAGCTTCAAGTTACTACTTGGTTACTACTCRGTTGTAATATTATGTATCAGTACCTTGCTATTTGGAGGATGTCAGCATAATATTTGTTTCTCTAAAATTTTTGCACAATATGGATAGGTACAATGCTTTCACATCAAATCGTTTTTTTTTTTTTTCAACAACTAGAGTATCCATTATAAAGATTATGGAGAAATATGAAGTTAATATGTTATATATTTATTTTTTATTTTATTTTTATTTGACTAGAATCCAACTCAAAATAAAATAAAATTCTCTTAATTTAAATAACGTTATTATTATACAAAGCAATATTTGGACATATCGATATGTCATTTCCTCAAAAATATTATCTATTGATTTTAGAATGAGTGATTTTACTCTAAAATTATTCAATACCGAAAATAAAAATAATTGCGTTTATGAATTTTATCTATGTTGCGTTATGGGCCAGAGAGAAAGCAAATATTGCGCTGACATCGTCTTAAGTAAGTCACTGTAATTTTTTATATTTTTTTTGTTTGCGGACTCTAGGACCATCCCATCATACTGGATGTGTGAAAGCTGGATGCTTTCTATCCCGCTTTGTCTGCTGGTCGTGCCTTCCAATCACTTCCTCCTCCTAATTCTTCCACGTTCTTCTTCACTACTTCCTTCCATCTCATCTTCGGTCTGCCAATGGGTCTTTTTGCTGTAGGGTTTTTTTTTCAATACTGCAGTACAAAGTAATAGGTTTTGGTTTCTCCAAGCATGTCCTGCCCACTATAGTCTTTTATTTCTTATTGCTTCAATGATGTTAGGTTTTTRGTACAATCTAATTCCTCGTTTTTCCTTATCCTCCATTCATTAGTTACACTATCCTTCACATGTCCGAAAATTCTCAAAATTTTTCCCCAAAGGAGAAGAGTCTATTCTCGCCGGTTTACTGAATTGCCCACGTCTCTGCTCCATATGTAACAACTGGTCTTATCAAGGTAGTATATAATTGTTTCTTTAAGTCTCTAGACAGGGATCGAGCTCTTAATAGTTTCATTAACCCAATAAAGCATTTATTTCCAGCCTGCATTCTCGCATCTATTTCCTTTCCTATATTATTAATTTCTATTAGTATTGATCGGAACTCCAAAGCATCAAGACCCTTACAAGAGTCAACCGTTAGAACTTTATTTAATACAATTAAAAATTTAGTTAATATCGCCACTGGTTGTTCCCAGGTATTTGAACTGCTCTACTCTACCAAAATTATATTGATCTATACTTAGGTACTTTAATTTGCATTGTTCTGCGTCCTTACAATCATATATTTTGTCTTCTTTTCATTGATATGTAAACCCGTTTTTGCTGACGACTTTTCTAGCCGTCTGAATATCGACTTAGGTTCATTTTTCGATTCTGTTACTAGTCTCAGATTATCCGCGTATGCCAACAGTCCTTATAGTAGTATAGTGTAAGTGTGGCCATATAAGTTTATTCCTTCATGTTTTATTCTTATCATTTTTTCAATGCAATATTAAATAATATAGATGATTAAGAGTCCCCCTGTCTTAGACCTGTCCGTACTTGTACTTGCTCTGATTTTATATTTCTTATTCTAACCCTAAAATACGTTTCCATAATATATRWCTTGATCAAGTTTATCAGTTTGTGTGGGAAATGGAACTCTGTCAAAGTATTAACTAGACCTTCACGGTGTAGGTTGCTATATTATTATGCTTTTTGAAAATCGACGAACAAAACATGCATTTCCTAATTGAACTCCTGCGGTTTTTCTAAAAGTTGCCTGACAATGAAAATTTGATCAGTTGTCGATCTAYCTAGTCTAAAAGATCACTGTAATAGATGTGTTAAATTTAAATTAAATTACACATCACAGTTTTCGATGAAAAACAATTATGAATGGAGATGGTTTAACTTTTTGTTGAAGTACACTAGATACACAAAAGCTAAAGATAAATAATATACAAAATGCCTATTCAGCGTCTGCTGTACTACAGTGTGAATAATTTTACTTATAATCTACATACTATAGGGTGTGTTGTTTACATTCAACACTTTTTAGTAACCACCTGTTGCGATCCTGTTTATAGAGTATATCCTATACCTTGACTATCTCAACACACAGCTTATAAATAATTACATTAATGATAATTTTTCAACCATAAAGATTTATCAAACATAATAATAAAAAAAATGCATTATTGTAAAATCAATGTATTCATTAGAATCTAAAATTCTAAGAGTATAAAAATAATATTAATTGTTGCAATAATAATAACGATACCAAAATTTCAGATATATATCTTGTGTTAGTAGTTATATATAAAGATAAACATAAATATACATGGGTATCTCCAGACGGGAGATAAGAAAACCAAATAGACCATGTACTAGTAAATTCCAGATTCAAAAACACCATATTGAATCTAAGATCATTGCGTGGAGCAGACATTGGTTCTGATCACTTACTACTAGGTATATGGATAAAAGTGAAACTAAAAAAATTTGGTAAACGCAATCCAATGAACTTAAGGARACTTGACATAGACAAATTGGAAAATTARGATATAGGCAAAAATTTTGTAAATAGTATCAAGGACGCTCTACAAGGTAAGCAAATAATAGTTGATGGAAATGTTGATGAGAGTTGGGAACAAATTAGAGATGTCTTAAGCGATGTAGCAAATAAGACTTTAGGAACAAAAACCTAAAACCTAAGCCATGGTTCAACAGAATTTGCGAAGAAGCGTTACAACGAAGAAAGGTTTCAAGACAAAAATGAGTAAATGATACGGGTAATGAAGAACTATACGCAAGGTGCAAAACTCGTCTAAGGGAAACAAGTAACATCCTAAGAAGTGAAAAACGGAAATATGTTCGAAATATAATGGATAATGCTGAACTAGACTAAAAAGCAAACAGGACTAGAGATATGTACAAACGCATAAATTATCTTACAGGTGGATACAAGAAGAAGGAGAGATTCCTAAAAGATGGCGTGGAATGTGGATCATTGATAACCACGAATGAAGAATTAGCCAAAAAGTGGAGAGATTATTCTGACGAATGAAGAATTAGCCAAAAAGTGGAGAGATTATTCTGACACTCTACTTAACTGTGAAGAACCTGATAAAGTCTTTAGTCTTAACTTAGATACCGGAGAAGAACAAGAATGTCTTGAACCATCATTGGAGGAGATAAGATCCCAAATTAACATACTAAAAACCATAAATCACCTGGTGAGGATCAAATTAATGCAGAACTCCTTAAAAAAAGAGAAGAAATTACGTTAAGATTGCGGAAAATGATTCACCGAATATGGACAGCCGAAAAGATACCRAAAGATTGGAAAATAGCTTTACTATGTCCAGTTCGTAAGAAAGGGGATAAACAGGATTTCAATAATTATCGGGGAATTGCCCTTCTAAGTTTTGCGTATAAAATTTTCGCGAACTGTATCTTGTCATGGATAAAAACAAAATCGGAGAAAATCATTGGAGATTATCAAGGAGGCTTTAGGCCAGGGAGATCTACGGTAGACCAAATATTCATTCTCCGACAACTGTTCCAAAAGACCTGGGAATTCGACAAAGAAATGTACTGCTCTTCATCGACTTCAAGAAGGCATACGATAGTATATATCGCAAAAGTTTGATAAATATACCTAGAGAGTATAACTTCCCACAAAAATTAGTAAAGTTAATCGAAACATGTATTATGGAAACGTTCATTAAAATAAGAGTAGGAGAAGCCGTAAGAAATCGACCCGATAATTGTGAATTCAGGCCCAAGACAGGGGGACTCTATGTCACCTGTTCTCTTTAATCTGGTGWTAGAAAAGGTTATTAGGGAAACTAATATCGGACCCCAAGAGGGGATGCCACCACAAAGGTCCTCCATATAGCGTTATTGGCTTATGCGGACGATTTAGTCCAAGTGGATAAATCACACGATGGACTAAGAAAACTATGTAGCCGTTTGGAGGAGGAAGCGAAGTAAGTTGGCTTCCTAATAAATGAAGGTAAAACTGAATACATGGTGGTGGTAAGAGGAGATAGTACGAGAATGTATTCTTCCTTAAGAGTGGGCAACCATGATTTCAAACGAGTCACACAATTTAAATATTTAGGTTCGGTATTGACCGAAAAAAAGCTGAGAAGGAAGTAGCAGCAAGAATCATGTCGRGAAACAAATGTCTTTACGGACTCACAAATATCATCASAGTCCCTATCGAGAGATATAAAGTTACAATTATATATTACACTATTACACTCTATAATTACATACGGAGCAGAAACATGGACATTAAGGAAAACAGAGGAAAATAAACTGATTATTCTAGAGAGGAAAATCTTAAGAAAGATTTTTGGCCCAGTACCAGACGAAGAAACTGAGGGATGGAGAATTAGAAAAAACAAAGAACTAGAGGAACTTTTTCAGAAGCTAAACATATTAAATATAATCCAGAGTAGGTGGCTACAGTGGGCGGGCCACACATGGCGCAGACAGAACCCACTACTGCACATAGTACTGACAGAGAACCCAGAAGGGAAAAGCCTCTTGGACGACCCCGTTTAAGATGGGAGGATATAGTAAAGAGAGACGTGAAATCGTTGAATGGTGTCCAAGATTGGAAAACAAATGCAGCTGACAGAGAAACCTGGAGGATTGGTTGTTTGTTGGGATGGTCCTAGTGGTCAGTAATACCCAAAAAGAGAGAGAGTAGTTATATTTACATACTATCAGTTAAAACAAAAATTCAACAAGAAGCATTCAACATTTACAGATTGCCTTACATTATTGTCAATGAAGTACACAATGGTGGACTTCGTCAGTTGATAATTTTCTTGAAAACTCAAAGATAATATACCTAAACATTTTGACAACCTTGAAGAAGGTAGGTACATATCATACTATTATTTATTCACTATTATTATATTAGTCACAGATATAATGAATATATTACTATATAAAGTATTCATCAGGGTGTAGTGATGATATTATATCAATACATATCAGGGTACAAGTATAACAAATTGATTCAATTGAATATTTAAACATAGTTGCTACAGARTATAAATAAGGGGGATAACTAGACTTCACTCTCCCTCTGGTTAAACAACTGTAACCCACATTATAAATTTATAAATAACAAGCGTCTCTACAATTAATTTGTAGCCTTATTATTTATTAACAATGGTATACCAATTTGTATAATATAGATTTGTTATCATRACATCAAAACGCAAAAAATATGGTACGTATGTACTCATAACTTATAGTTTGAATTAATCTTAATATATTTTTGAAATAATGAAAAAATTATCAACCGTATATTGAAGCCWAAATTGAAAATCCCAAACTGAATAGTAATATTATATTGAAAATAAAAATGCTTTACGGAATCAACTGGTTATTAGAATTAACATGACTTGGATCAATATGTGATCATTGTGATCACATTAAATGGTACTTGCTGTAAAATATAATTGTCGCGTTCGGTATTTGGGTGTCTGTACAATATGTTGTATACCCAYAGATATAAAAYAGTATTTTATATCTGTGTGTATACCTCTCCCAATCAACTACTTTGTATGTGTGTCAGAAAAACACTATGATCAATTAACTTCCAAGTTAAAAAAAACTAAGGATGTAAATAATACAATGCTGTAATAAATATTTTCAAAAGTGATTTGTCACAAATCATTTGTCGTTTAATTATGTACCTTAAAATAAGTTAATACATTTTACAAATGTTTTAAATATTTATTAATACTTAACTGGGAGATGGGAGGTAACTCTAGTTATTAAATATTTTACAACATCCCTCTGTTTTTGGGGAATCATCCAATCAGATTGAATAATTGTTACAAAATTTTAGATCACTGCAAGCATGACTTAATAATTAATAGACATAGTCACTATTAAAATGTTTKATTTAAGCATTTGATAGATGATGTTTGATTACATCAAAAGGTTAGAAGTCTATATAGCTGACACAAAGTATTTTGTAATGGTGTGGGGTAAAGTCACCAAAGTATAATGTTATTGATAATTAATTGATATTTGCACAGAAACTAGGACATTTTGTATGTTTGTTCAAGAAGAAAACTCATCTGAATCTATATCAATACAAAGACCATACAATTAATATTCATCCAGACTATAACCAATAATAATTATTATTATTAACATCAACAAGGTCTTTGATAAAAGTCATATCCAAAAAATAACATAACATAATAACTTTTAAATTAAAAAAAATATATTTCAATAATAAATTAAAAAGCATATAATTTTAAAATATAAATTTATAAAAATGGTAATTCTCAATCTATAAATTCCACACACTTTGCAAGACGTAATCAAAGTTAAGTAAGAAATAAAAAGGAATAAAAAAAAACCACATGAACACATTAACTTAAATATTACATCCATCTATTTTTCTTATAACCCAGTTTTATTTAATACAAAATAGGTTTTCCAAAACATTTGTATATAATTAGCTGATACTTTTGAGTAAATAATATACATACAATTTGTAATTACTTAGTTAATTTAATAACACAATACCAATATGTTTCATTCAATTGAAACTCACAAATAAATTATTTAAATTCATAGACATAAATAAATTAAAACAATTGTTCCCATGATAACGTCGTGCCAACTACATGTATGCAAACAACAACACAAAACATAACAAGTGAAATATAATGGTACACTAAATGCACAAATATAAATTATACAACAATCGATTAATTTATTTAGTATAAGAAAAAGGCAGTATAACTGAATAAGAACATTTTAATTATCAATTGTTATAGTAATACAATCTACTATAGCAATGTAGAATTGATATTTAATAAAAWATACCATTTATAAACATTGTAGGTAACAAAATGTTTTGGTAAAATAACTATAGGTACATGTATTATTTTAAATACATTGCATTGATTGAAAACTCATTAATCTCTTCTTTAACTCAGTGTAAGAAAAATCTAAATCTGTCATTAAATGGTAAAATTTTGAAATTTCATAAACTTTTTTATAGAAGTAATATAATATATTTTAGGATAAATATTCATGGTATAAACATATATTATGTATCATTAATGTAATAAAAATATATATATATAATATATACATAACATTAATGACATGAAAAATATATTAACTGAGATAGTATTGGTGAACTTTTTCCCAAAATATAAAGATAATAAATGTGTATACTAATAAATAATAATACAAAATAATAAAATCACTTTAAGGAATGATTAATTTCCTAACATAAAATATAAAGWATAAACGTATATATTTAAATAAATTATAAACTATGAATAATATTATATTTTATATAATTTTCAAAATTTTAATATATTTTAATTTTAATAATCAATAAATATTTTAGTAATACAAAAAATTGTGGATACATAGAGATTATAATAATAATTAAGGCTGTTTAAATTTTAACAAATTATAAAAATATAAATTGTGTTAAGTTCTGACAGAACCATCATATACAGTAGAGTGTTGATTATTTTGGCTAATTAGGACCAAAAAGGAAACAGATAATTAATTTGGGAGGATTATCACTGTATAATCACTAAAAATGTACATTGTACATGTATACTGAATTTAAATATTTTATTTGTACATTTGTCATACATATTATATAATATATTATATTATTTGTATGAGTATCTATGTATATACCAGGAGTGGCCAAATGGCAACTTGTATCATATGCTCATTGATCTCAGAAATTAACATTTTTACTAATAAAATAATAGGTATTATTCCTTTTCCTGCTTTCCATTAAATATTTTATTACAATACAATTTTCTTGTTACTGACTACCCCTGATTACATGATTAATTAAGGATAAAATTATTGATAACCTAAAAATAAGCTAAAAATGAACAAAATGCAAGGATACAGCATTATACGAATGTCATAGAAAAGTATCTAAACACATTTTTTTTTTTACCTTTAAATTTTTAAGTTAAACATAATGTCTTGAAGCTTAAATGTGTATAATTTACGTAATATATGTAAAAATGAATAAAAAATAAAGATTTTTTTGAATTATTGTTCAATAAAAAAATATGGCAATAATACTTCTTCTAGAAAACAATAATACAACTCATCAAAATCCTATCCCTAAGAAATCAATATATTATGTATTATTTTGTAAAGCAAATTAAGTAATACACTTCAAGTATAATTATTTTTATAAAATATGAAAAAAAWACATATTATTATTAAGTATATTTGCAAATCTTGATGCAAATAATTGACAGACAGAATAATCGACATTCCACTGTATATGGTTAAATTTAAATCAGCCATAAAATAACATTACACATTTGCTGTGARAAATCATAAAATTAATTATGAAATTACCTCGACGTTAAGTGTTGACTTCTTTTCTTCGCTGTTTATCATTTCAAGACTAGTTTTTAGAATGTCTATTTGATGCTGAAAATAATGTATAGTAAATATATTATGAATATGCCATTTATGTTTTGTTTTTAAAAAGGTTAAATTCATGCCTGAATTTATAGAATAATGGGTCTGGGGGCTAATAGTAAAAATGGGGCCTACCAAACACAATTTATCAATACTGGTCTAGTTGACCCMCTGCCSGGAAGGCAATTCCCCTGCCACTCAGGTTTAGTTGACAATTTGACACCTGCCATTTACATMTCTCCTATTTTTGATGTTATAAAATGTATAATATACTGAGTGCAGATAAAAAAGTGCGAGATCAT